TTTCAATGTTGCATCTCATACCCCTGACACTCCCTGGATCATTGATTCTGGAGCGTCTAAACACATGACTGGTACGCCTTCTTACTTTCAAACCTATCACCTCCTTTCTGGAAGAGACAAGGTGAGACTAGCTGATGGATCATACACTACCATAGCTGGTCAAGGAACCATTTCTCTTCCTTTTGGCCTAACCCTCTCTGATGTTTTACATGTCCCGAAATTTCCCATTAATTTGTTCTCTGTTAGAAGTATTACTAATTCCTTAAATTGCTCAGTAACCTTTTTCCTTCTTACTGTGTGATCCAGGATCTGGCCTCGGGAAAGGCGATTGGTAGAGGATATATGGCAGATGGACTTTACATGCTGGAGAATAAGGTTGGTCTTCAAGTCACAGAGTCTAAGAGTCAGTCCTGTAAGAGTCAAGTCTATTTATGGCATTGTCGTCTTGGTCATTTATCTTTTGAGTCTTTAAAAGTGGTGTTTCCAGAATTGTTTAAGTCAGTGTCAGTTTCGGATTTTTCTTATCAAATTTGCTAATTGAGTAAACAGTGTAAAACTCGTTTTCCTTAAAAAATTAATAAATCTGAATTTCCTTTTCACATTGTTCATTCTGATGTGTGGGGCCTTGTTACTTTACCATCTAAGAGTGGCTACAAGTATTTTATTACCATTATCGATGATTATTCTAGATATACATGGGTATATCCCATGCGGACCAGGGATGAAGTACCAAAAATTATCCAAGATTTTCAACGGATGGTCTTCACCCAATTTCAAACTGAAATCCAAATTTTTCAATCAGATAATGCTAAAGAGTATTTTCATAGTGATCTCACAGAATTTTTTGTTTCACGTGGTTCACTTCACCGTAGCTCTTATGCCCGAAAACCACAATAAAATGGTGCTGCCAAAAGAAAGAACCGACACCTCATTGAAGTGGCCCGGGGTTTACTAATCCATATGAATGTCCCGAAACGATTTTGGCTTGAGGCTGTCCTTTGTGCTACTTATCTCATCAACCGTATGCCCTCTCGTTGGTTAGAGTGCAAGGCCCCACATCAGCTTCTTTTTCCTAAGGCTCCCCTTCTTTTCATTCCTTCTCGTGTGTTTGGTCGTCATTGTTTTGTCCAAAATCTGTCACCTACTCGTGGAAAATTAGACCCTCGTACTATTCCTTGCATCTTCCTGGGGTATTCTTTCACTCAGAAGGGATACCGTTGTTTTGATCCTGATTCTCAGAAGTTTTATGTTTCCATGGACGTCTCTTTCTTTGAGAGTGAGCCTTTTTTCCCCGTTTCTCCTTAGGGGGAGTGTAGGAATGAGGAGAAATTGGTTCAGCTCCCTCCTATTCCTGATCCTCCTCCTTTTCGTGTCTTCTTTTGTCGTTACAAAGGCCAACCAAGTTCAAGAGCTGTGGAGAACCTAGAAGTTGTACATCCAATGCCATCAAACTCTCCAGAGGTGGATCATACTCACTCAGGTATCTTGGTTCTTATCGATGTCCCTGACCCTATTGCTATTGATACCACTGATGCTAATGACCTTGACCTTCCATTTGCGCACAGGAAAGGTGTTAGATCTTGCACCACTAAACACCCCATTTCCCACTTTGTTTCCTAAGAAAACATTTCACCCTCTTTTCGGGCCTTTCTCACTTCCATTGACAGTGTTCCTATCCCCAAGAATGTAGCAGAAGCTCTTTCAGTACCTAAATGGACAGATGCTATGAAGGAAGAAATTAATGCTTTACATAAGAATGGCACATGGGAACTAATAGATCTTCCTAAGGGAAAGGATCCAGTTGGATGTAAATGGGTGTTCACAGTCAAACATAGGGCTGATGGCATGGTGGAACGATATAAAGCTCGTTTAGTGGCAAAGGGGTTTACACAAGTGTATGGAGTTGATTATGCAAAGACTTTTGCACCCGTTGCCAAGATGAACTCCATTAGAGTCCTTTTCTCTATTGCTGCTAATCTTGACTGGGATCTACATCAACTTGATATCAAGAATGCATTCCTGAATGGTGACCTTGAAGATGAAGTTTACATGGTACAACCCCCTGGTTTTCGGGCTCAAGGTAATGAACAGAAAGTGTGCAGGTTGAAGAAGTCATTATATAGGCTGAAACAATCACCGATCAAGAATGCATTCCTGAATGGTGACCTTGAAGAGGAAGTTTACATGGTACAACCCCCTGGTTTCCGGGTTCAAGGTAATGAACAGAAAGTGTGAAGGTTGAAGAAGTCATTATATGGGCTGAAACAATCACCGAGAGCCTGGTTCAGCAGGTTCCATGCAGCGGTTTAGTAGAAAAGATACAAGCATGTCAATCTGATCACACATTGTTTGTGAAAAGAGGGGAAGGAAAAATTGCTGCTTTGATAGTATATGTTGACGATATAATTATCATTGATGATTGGAATGATGAAATCCAAAAGTTAAAGATTTTTCTTGCTACACAGTTTGAAGTAAAGGATCTAGGTCCCCTAATATACTTCCTTGGAATTGAAGTTGCCCGCTCACAAAAGGGTATCTTCATTTCCCAAAGGAAGTATGTCCTAGATCTACTCTAGGATACAGGAAAATTGGGAGTGAAGCCAGTTGATTCCCCTATTGATCCTAACCACAAATTAGGTGACTGCCAAGGTGAACCTATCAAGGATGTGAAACAGTTTCAGAGACTTAGGAAGATTGTTATATCTTTCTATGACCCACCCAAACATTGCTTACGCAATCAGTGTTCTTAGCCAATTCATGCATGCTCCCAAGACCACTCACCTTGAAGCAGCAGAAAGAGTTCTCAGATATCTTAAGAAGTTCCCAAGTGTTGGCTTGTTGTTTCAAAAGCACGGACATTTGAAAGTTGAAGTGTACACTGATGCAAATTGGGTAGGATCCCTGAATGACAGAAAGTCAACTAGTGGCTATTGTACCTTTATAGGAGAAAATATAGTTACCTGGAGAAGCAAAAAGCAGAATGTGTTAGCTAGATCCAGTGTTGAAGCTGAATATCAAGCAATGGCTCATGGAGTGGCTGAAATTATGTGGCTAAAGAATCTGTTGAGTGAGTTGGGTTTTCCAATGGACGGATCTATGACCCTATTCTATGATAACAAAGCAACCATAAAAATTGCTGCTAATCTAGTGCTACATGATAGAACTAAACACATCGAAGTCGACAAACACTTTATCAGAGAGAAGGTTGTCACATGGGAAGTGTGCACTCCTTATGTCAGTTTTGAGGATCAACTTGCAGACATCTTTACAAAAGGGCTACACCACTCACGGCATCATGATTTATGTGACAAGTTGGGCATGATTGACATCTATGTCCCAACTTGAGGGAGAGTGTTGAAAGTTGTTATTTTTCCTAAGTATAGTACCGCAGGGGTACTATTGTACTTTTACCTTTTTATTTTTTTAGTTGTTGTCGCCCTAGTATATATAACAAATAGTTGGCGCTGCCAGCTATTATAAATAGTAATTCCGAGAGATACCATAAATAGTAATTTTGAAATCCAAAAAACAGAACCATGTTTGAGGCACCACCAACTAGAAAACAAATAAAAAACTCAAACAATATCAATATCCTATAACCCAAAATTTCTAAAACTGACATAGGAATTGGAAAATAAGTTTGTCTCCCCATGAATTCTTTCCTTGCTTCTGCATCTGCATCAAACCCACTAAACTACATGAATGGATTTGGGCGGGTTACAAGTGGATGAGTTGGGTGGGTCAAGATGATTGGGTCAGAAATTGCCACCCCTATGTAACAAGGGTATGGAACATAAACAAGAAAAACTTATTAAAAAATAAAGGATTTGAAAATATCTTAAGTGAGGAAATAGACTAAGGCCATTACCAAATGCTTGTCCCAACCAACCGGGATCTTTGGAGTCATGGACTGGTTACCTTAGAACTTACTACAGGAAATGAGAAGAAATCAATTATAAATGCTACTATAGAATTAAAGGTGCATTAATCATTTAAGGCTCAGTTTGGGAAGAGTGCAAATATGAATATGTACAATGCAGGTGCAAGGTTTAGAGCATGGTTTAAAGTATCAATACACCCAAATGTATCGGCAGGGGTGTATCAATACTTTTATCCCACACATTTTTTTAGTCTTTTTTTTTTCAAATTTTCATTTTTATACATATTTTTATATTTTTAATCAATAAAATAATTGGTTTCCCGAAAACACCTTTAAATAGGTGTATCAGAAACCCAACTATAGGATACGATATGCCTGATACAGGGTGTATCAGAAACCCAACTATAGGATACGATATGCCTGATACGGGGTGTATCATATTGATACTTTGAACCTTGGTTTAGAAATGCTGCATAGAAGGTTTTGCATTGCACATATTTGTATTTGCACTCTTCCCAAACTGATCGTAAAAGTCATATTTAAGTCATAATTGAAGAACATAACCTTTATATTCCTTTTGGCACATGAACAATAACCTATAAAATGATAAATATGTCCCAAGTGGTGTATGCTTAACCTGACTTTTTTCCAAGCACTAGTTGTAAGACTCCCAATAACCACTTGTAATTGGTCTCACAAGTCACAATGGTTCAGGTTTGAGCCAGGGCAGGGTAGACCCTGTACTGAATCTATAAGAAACATCTAGACCAGGTCCCGATTCAGACTAGGTCTAAGAGTGATAGAGATGCAACTTGGGCAGGCTTCGGTTGAGTGAGGTACACCCAGTCAACAAATGAGGACCCAGTAATTGCACTTAGTAAATGAGGTACACTGATTCAACATATCTCACTATTTTTTTTTCTCCAGAGCCCAAAATTGATCCCATTATAAATAGTACACTTAATTACAAATATGGTAGCAAATTGGATTGGATCAATTCTTTTGGAAACTATTATAGCTATGCACTGAATAATGATCAACATGGAACTTAAAATGTTCTCTCTTCCACATTGGTCCCAATCTAAAATTTAAAATACAATACATATTTAGCATCCTTTACCTGTTCTACTTCTCAAGTACTAGTCCCAGGTATTCTCAAGAAGATTCAGCTCAAAAAAAGCTGTATTTTCTCCACAACAGACAATTCTGTAATGCTTCTCATCAATACCAGTTTATGTGTATTCATCGTCACTGTCTTCTTCATCTTCAGAAGACAACTCATCTCCCCTTGGTCCCAACAGTGTATTCATGTTGAATGATGTCTCCATTTCCATCTCCTCCATGTCAATAGACTCATAATCCATCCGTTCCTCAAACTTCTCATCTGAGCAGTTAAGAAGCCATGCAAGAGAACATCTTAAGCCTTTCTTGGTGACCACCTGATGCCTAGGTTTTATTGTTGACTCCAAACCATAAGTAAAGAAAGCTGGAAATGCTACCAGGTCATCCAAATCTCTACTCATTTCTGCCTGGAAATAATCAAAGCTAAGCTTCATTATGTCGAGATTCAAAGCAAGCAACTGGGGGCATTTCATAACCATGTTTCTGATTTGTGGTAAGGAGAATCCACAATTCTTTAGGAAATCCACATGCTTCAATATAGGAGATTGACTGAGGCTAACAACCTGTGGCATCTTTTCAACAACTCTACAGAAATCCTCAGGACCCACGTCAATACTTGAGTTCAGCAAGCTCTGTTGAGATACAAGTTTTGGTTTCAGATCAATCCCCATAATTTCAGGATATTGTGCTATCACAGAAGCAAGTGCCTCATTCCTCACACCAAACTCTAAAAGGGCTTGCACGTTTGGTTTCACTCGATTGTCTAATCCAAATCCGAGGATGTGAGGCTGCTTTTCAATCAATCTAGCCACAGCTAGTTTTGGTATCCCTAGGCTCTCAAGGTACTCCACAAAAGGCTTGATCACCCTGCCAACTCTCATTCCCAATATCTCTGGGTATCTGGTTAGAACCCCTCCAATTTCTCTTCTTGCCACGCCAATTCCAACCAAATAAGCCACAGATGTGCTCATGGTCCCCTCAAGTTTGAACCCCAATACCTCTGGATACCTCTCAAGAACTCGAGGGATATCACTTGGTCTAATGTCCATCCCTTGGAGGTATTTGACAACAGGTGCAAGATCTACAACAACACTAGCATGGAGGACTTGAGGATATCTCCGCAAAAAATCTGTAAAAGTGGATTTCCGGACTCCCAATTTCCCAAGATAATCAAGCACAGGAATCATGTTCTTCTTCACACTGCAGCCAAGAACAAGGGGGTAGTTGTTTATATCTTCAATTGTGAGCCCCAATTTGTGAAGGAAGTCAACACGCTCTCTCATGACCTCAACTGTGACAGGAAGCTCCAGACCATCAAGCTCATCAGGAACAATACCAAGTCCCCTCAAGAACTCATAAATTCTGGCTCTATTAGCAATTCTCTCATTTTTCATTTCCAGTAAACTGGGCCTACTGTACAAGGAAGATGAGCCTCTTTGATGCTGAACCGAAGGAGTGGTGGACAACTTTGACAAAGATGAATTTGCAGAACTAGAAGCAAATGTTCTCTCGGCAATGGAACACTCAATTCTGGTTACCAACCCATTATTCTTCCCGACTAAACTTGGAACTCTGGGAACAGATGGAGGATTTAGCTGTGGAATACGGAAGGTAAGAGCGGATAACTCTGAATGCGAAAGCAACAAACTGGGTTTTGTAATGCCAGTATAGCTGAGAGCCTTCATGTTTTTAAGTGTTTGTGGTATCAGGGAATCTACACAAGAAGAATAAAAATTCAGTGGTCTGTTAAATGTAAGAATTTAATACAATGACAATTGAAACAACTCACAGTTGCTTACTGGATGAAACAGAACAACAAAAGGAGAACACAAATGTAGTGAGAATAGAAGACTGAACTAGCATTTATTTTTTTAAATTGTAAAACATGGAAGTAAAAATATATGAAAAACGAATCATTTCATGAATAACGATGGAATAACGAAAACCAGAACTGAATATCCCAAATTCAATGAAATTGAAAAAATAATTAAAAGATAAAAAGAAAAGGAGAATGAAAAGAAACAGGATTATGATTCACAACACCAACTGCAGATTAAAGCAGAAAAAATTACAGAACAGACAGGAAAAAAAAGCCAAGATTTGCCAAGGATATGATACGGATTTCTCAGGTTTGCACTTCTCATTTAACTGATAAGTTATATTAAAAATCAAAATCAACTATAAAACCCATAAACCCTAAGAACATCTACAGATGACTAGATTTAGAGTTTCCAGACAAGTTAAGAGTAACACCTCTTTTTCTCGTCCTCACTTCTTTTCCCTGTTTATGCGTCTGTCGCTAACAGGAAAGAAACCTTCTGTGGATAAAATGAGATATCCGAGTTCTGCTCACACGGGCTGCAATCGTCATAACTCGTAGTGGTTTAAGACTGATCCGGTCCATCCGGACGGTTCGATCTGAAACGTCAATAAATTGATGATACACAAGCAGGCAGAAACACAACAGGAACAGGCCCCTGGAACCGTTAACGAGCCAAACGGGGTGGAACAGTTTCTGATTATTTCGATTTTAACCAATCTTGTCAGACAAAACGGACGTTAGTACTTTTGATCACTACTAGGTCATGGGTGGAACGGTTGGACCGTCCGATCCACAAAAACAGAAATTGTGAAAAAATCAGAAAAAAAAATTAGTGAGCATTTGCAAACAATCTTTTAAACCTATTTTAAATCAATAAATTTAACACGACAAATATTATAAAATATAACACTTTTATGGTAAATTTTAACCAAATCAGCATAATAATGATAAACGGACACAATTTTGCCACAAAATTAGATATAATATGTGACAAAAAAAACATTAGATATGATAGAGCACCACATAGGCCTCTTCTTTTCCAATGACATTTGATGGCGATGTTTGGATAGAGTTTTACTTTTGTATTTTTAAAAAAAAATGTCAAGGTATAAAGTATATAAAATATTTTTATTTTGAAAACCGTTTGGATAAAAAAATTTGAAAAGTATTTTTTTTTTAAACAAAAGTATCATTTTCTGTTCGGCAAAAGCATGTCCATTTGTACTTCCGGTGACAGTTTTCCAGTGGTTTCGGGGTCTGAGACCAATGACGGCAATCCAATTCTAACAGCGGTGAGCGAAAGTATGGTCGAGAATTTTATCGAAGGGTGGTCACGTGACCACCCGTTTGCACGAAAATGAAAGCACAATTTCGCCAAAAGCATAAAGTATAAAAAGCTAACCTTGTGCTTTTGGGGTTTTTCATAATTTTAAAAGTATAAAGTACATAATACAAATACTATGCCATGTTTTTCATACTTTTATACTTTCAAAAGTACGAAAGTATTTTATAAAAGTCTAATTCAAACTGGGTTGTATCTCTAATAATTACTTTTTGAAGTTGGATAAATTCTCTTGGTTATGAAAAATAGCAATTGACTATTTTAATATTAGATATTTGAAAGTTTTTAATTTATTTAATAAAGTAATTAATAATTAATTATTTACCAAAAATAAAATAAAGTAACTAATAACTAATTAATGAATGTAAAATGATTAAAAACAAATAAATTGATCAAATATTATAAATTGTAATATAAGACCAAACTTTTGCTTTTTCCCATCTCTTTTCAACACCAAATACCTTATCATGATGATCCAATAGTTGAGATGATCAGTCCATGCCCCTCCAAAAAAGGAAATCTGCATAGCCATATTTTCTTTGTGGTAAGGTCAATGGACTTCACATACACAAATGGTTACATGTGCCCCACTACTAACATGTTTGTGTTTGGTTGGGGGTCATAAGGGAGTTTTATAACTGGTCATGGTTTTATGCCTATAATAAGAGTTATAGTTAAGACTGCAACTTGGACCAAGTTGGCCCAAATTCAACCCCAAAAAATTAGGTTAGGTCGGGTTGGGTTGATGCTCAGGTTAGGGTTAGGGTTAGGATTGAAATTCATGAACTCCATTTTACTTTGGATTGGGTTAAGGATGACCCCTTAAGAAACCCAACCCAACTCAAACCCGACCCTATAGTACATGTCATATATAAGTAGATTATATATATAATATATATACAATATATCATACATTGATTTATTTAGATGCATGATAGTTGTATAGACCCCACCACATACTATTATGTCTTTCTCTAAGATAACCACTTCACTTAATTCTACTAAAAAATATTAAAACCTTAGGCTTAGTTTGGAAAGAGTACAAATACAAATTTGTAGAGTGCAAAACCTTATATTTTGCATGTATTTGCATTGTACATATTTGTATCTGTACTCCTTCCAAACTGAGCTTTAATAACATATTTTATTTTTCATCTCCTCTCTATTGTTAGACACCCATAACTTGCTTCCCATTAAAGATTTATCATAAGTTATAATAATAATAAACTATAGTCATTAACACTTGTTTTTTCTGAATTTTGTATTAAAGAACCAATAAAAACACCAACAAACAAGTACTAATAAAACATAAGATTAACATATGTAGTGAAAGTTGAGCTAAGATATGAAATTAAAAAGTTCTCTGTGATTTTAAGGGATGGAAAGAAGGTTGGGTTGGGCCCAACCCGAAGTTGATTTCAGGTTGGATTGGATTGGATTAGGATTGAAGGAATTTAGTTAGGGTTAGGGTTGGCCTCAACCCTACTATAGCAAGATTTTAAAATCTAACCCAAAAATGGAATCACTTTGACCTTGGTTTCCAAGTCAATGATTCAATCATCTACGTCAAACTATTTGACCCATGACATCATAATTATATTTATAAATAACATAATTTTTCATAATATGCCAATATTACCATTAGATTTTGTCGAACTTTTAAGACTTGTAATAAATTTGGATGCCACACCATGTATCGTCCCTTTTTTTTAACATCTTAAAAAAAGAGAACTAAAAAATGTAAACCAAAGTACACATGACCAAAAGAGACTCCAAATGCCTGCTTGCTTAGATGACCAAGCCAACTTTCTTACCTTTTTATTAATCTCTCCTCCTTTGTTTAACTACCCAAAAAGAAAAAAAAAATGCTACTGTGCCTTGTCTATCAAATACTAACTTTCTTCCAACCACTACAGGAAATTAGAAGAGGGATAAAAATATTTTCCTCCTCAACGGCAATCACCGAAACAAGAAATAGAAAGAATTGATGGTCATCTTCACTAAACTGTCACAACTAAATGTCCGCGACATGATGTTCAAGTGTCTCTAAGTATGTCTTGGGTGGGGCAATCTATGTATTTTGTATGGGGGGAATGCCAATGGCATTATTATAATTATTAATATGATTTTTCAACACCTTTGATGCTTCCTTTTATCACTCCTCAAAAGCTTAAGTTATTCTTTGAGGGGAGGTAGGTAATTGAATGGTGCCAATATAAAGGTTAAGCATGAAGTCCCCCTTGTGTTTGCCATTTTTTAATGTAATACAAAGTGCCTTCTCACTAGTTTGTTTGTCAGTGTTGTTGTTTTTTATATCTCGTTGCCTTGTTTCGTAAACTTACTTGACCCAATCGAGTGCCACATGGGACCTCATCAATTAGCCCTGTGACAAGTTGCTATAGCCTTGGGTTGTAAATGCAACCATGCAAGAGACAAGGGAGTTGATGGATGCCTTGATTGCATCCCTCACCTCAACTACTATAGATATTCAAAATCGTTGAGGTTTGAGAGTCTTATCTATTGAGAAATAAGACTCGATAAACCCTAAAGTTGTATTTGGTTTGAAGGAAAAAATAGGGAAATGAAGGGAAAAGCAAGGAAACCTATACAAGTTTTGTAAAGGTTTAAATAATGAATATAGGACTATCCGATTGAAATACTTATTTTTATTTTTCTTTTAATTTCGACCTAATCATTGCCGAGTTGAACAAATTAACTCAACTGCACGTATCAACAATTCTTTGACCATTTCAACTTTTTTTTTTCAAAATAACAATTCAGGATAAAAACAAAAGTATATAATTAAATTTTATAACCTTGGGTTATAATCTAAGCCTAGGGACTCTAGGCCTAAGTCATTAATTAAAATTTTTAACAAGTATATAATATTTTGTATTATATTAATATATGTATAAAATATATGATATAATTTATATAATATAAAATATTATATATAATAGATATTATAAATGTTATTTTATAAATTTATATACTTAACATAATAATATTATAATAGATCGTCAGCTGATCTTAAAAGGTTGGCCCAAGCCTGGCATACAAATTTCCAGACTTATCTCCAGCTTGGGCTGGGCCGGACTGGATTTCCAAGCTGGGCTACGAAAGTAGGAATAATCACCCCTAGTCACAGACAGCAGATGCGCGCTACATAAATCATGCCAACGACATCGCGATCTGTTGAATTAGTCATCGGGGGCGTAATCATTAACACCAAAATTATATTAAATGGGTGGTTTTTTTTTTCAAACTGAAATATTAGAGCTATTATATCTCCATCCCCTCCATGGACAAAATATTGCCTGATCGCCCTTTTAATATATTTTAATTGATGCAAATGCAAGCAAAACAAAAAATTTCCATCGTAAATGGGGTGAATATATAGCCCAAATATTTCATCTGGAAAAATAGTTCCTCAGGCTGTGTTTGGAATCACTGTAAAATGTTATTGGTGTAAAAATACACTGATAACGTTTTATACTGAACCTTGAAAGTGATCGTTGCTTTTTGAAAAACGAAATGGGTGGAAGAGTGCAAAATTTTACATTGATAAAATTGATGTAGTTTTTACATCGATTATTAATATAAAACTTTATGCTTGATAAGGTTTTACATCAATTATCGATGTAAAACTCCACTCCATCCAAATGCATGCAAAACTGAATCAGAGTGAAGTTTTACGTTGATCATAATTTACATTGGTTCTTGATTTACATTGCTTCCAAATGCAGCATCAGTCTCAAACAGAAACAAACAGAAAATAGTTAATTTTTCTTGTCCAAAATAGGGGTGTCAATGGACCAGTTTTGAGTTGGACCCATCCAAATCAAAATCAATTTAGACGAATTGGACCAATCCACAATTAATGGTCCAAAGTATTTATTGGATTGGATTCGACCTGATCCATTCATAATGGATTTATATTAAATTGGTCAAATTAAACCAATATCCAATCCATTAATAAAAAATAAGAATATAGGTGTTAATGACCAGATTTGGATTGGAAACAATCTAAATTAAGAATAATTAAATAGATTGAACAGCCAAACATTGAATCAAACTGGTCCAAAATAATTCAAAGTATTCATTAAATTAGATCAGACCTAATCTATCAGTAATAAATTTATATTGGACCGGAGTAGAATGGACCAAATCTGAGCCAATTGACACCCCTACTGCCCTACAGTCCAGACTCCAGAACAAACCGAGCATATACCGTGTAATTAATTTTTCTTTACCTTTATTGTAGACATTAGGTTAAGTTGACGATTTAATTAATTAAATTGCTGGCCTTTAACAATACACTCATCAATGCGCCATATAAATGATCCTTGGGCTTTACCTATCTAGACAAAGGACATACTTAGCCTAATTAATTTGAATGGGTTGATTTATAATATTTTTTTTCTAGCCAGCTACCCTCCCAAACCACCAAGTGTCTAGTTTAAAGAGATGGGGACCCACCATCAGATAGGTCCCACTCTATGTCTAAATAAATTATCTGATGAAACTTATTTAATGGTGGTTCTAGATTCTCTGACATGAAACACATGCTTATTGAAGGGAAGGCACTAGGGCACCACAATGCAGCTATGATGAAGGCAGCCTCATTGTAGTCTGGCTTGAATTGAATTTTGAGGCGCTGTTTGGGAATCACCACCACCATGAAGGAAATTATCTAAGTTGATTATATATTCTTTTTCTTGAAAATAATATAGTTCGCTGCACCAGTTAATGTAAGGTGAACCAAAAGGCACTTAAGGCAGGGATTTCGATGAAAATTAAAGTGAATATTTTTAGTATTTAAAAAAAAAGATCTACTTCCGAAATTTTCAACTGTTAAGAAAAACTAGGATGATTTAGCTTCATTTTATGAACCCATGATCTGCCTCATGTGGGTTCTATATGTATAAATACTGGCGTGTTCGTTCATGGTTGGTCATGTCCCCTATTGCCGTGAGCCAAATGGGCCCCTCAGTAGTGATTGTAAATTATGTTGCCCGATTTGAAGGTTTCCAATTACATAAGGCTTGAATTAGGGTCCAGGCCCATTAAAAATTTAATGGGCTTAATGGACCTGAAAAGATGTACGGGCTAAGTTGAAGTTGGGGGCTTAAAAAAACACGAGGTCGGGGAGGGTGAAGGCGGGATTTCATCTCAGCCCAGTGGGAAATACTTCTGCTGACCTAATCATCTGAGTCAGATAGCAACTTCTCCCAGCAATTTCATCCTTACATGATTCATGTATTTAATAAAAATGGTCGTGCCCTTTGAAAACGAACCTACTTTGGGCCAACTACAAGCCCATACACCTCCCTAAGTTAGGAGATGTGCAGGGACATCTGGGTTGAAAATTCACACCAATTGGACCGCTCTTTGGATGGACCTTGGAGTTGGATCCAAGTCCAAGGTTGCTAAGCTGAGATAAAACATGCCCATGCCCATTAGGCCAGTCCAACATGTAGCCTTAAAAGGCCGTAATGTTTGATTGTCTGAAAGCTGAATTGAAAGGATTGCTTTGTTGGTTGACATTGAGGAGTCAATGTCAAACGTTTGTCTCTTTTTGATACCAAGTAGACCTTGCTTTCTTCAATAGCTGCTGATCGTCACACAAAATGCTATGTGATTGGGTTGGGCCCCATCCTTCTATGACCTTAAAAGCTTATATAGCTGCCAAATGGCATCCACGGAAGCAGCACACACCTCCACTGCTATGCTAGCTATCCTCCTCTAGTCGTACCTCCATCTCAACAAATGATACAAACATCCAAAGTACGTACTTCATCTGATGCGCACATATTGTTATAGAATATAGGTTATTTGGTGGGGACCCATTTTATGGTGGGCCCCAATGGGTCTCCTCCCTTCCTTGGTGAATTGATTATGATCAAAACCACCCATATCTATCTAGTTTTTGAGCTTCAATCTTTGAACCATATGCCATCATAGGTAGTGACTAGTGAGAGCCCAAGGCAGTGAGAGTGAGACCCACACTCTAATGGGTGCTTGCCAGTTAGAAAGAGCTCTTATAAGATGATCCTGAACCAATTTGATCACATTGGATTGGACCAGAGAGTCCTGAAAAGAATCCACTCTTTTGGTCCTTTTTCCAAACATGTACATTCAATAGAACCACCAACTGTTTACCAAAATGAGCAAGCATATACGATGCTGAAAAGAGAGGAAGAGGATTCTAGAAACGACAAATAAAAGGAGAAACAGAATATATATTAGGTAAAGGAGAAAAAGTTTGTCCTCTTTTAAGCTTTTTTTTTTTAAAAAATAAAAACAAGAGATAAGGGAGGGAGTGGGCAAAAAATAGTCTCAAACAGACAGAGTCACTTCCCCCCACTACACAATACACAAACTTAGGCGTGCCACACCTAAGTGGGGTGCATTATCATGATGATCCCACCCATCAAAACCTCCACATCATCCCCATTCCCTCCACATCTCTCTCCATTTACTCTGCAGTCTCTGCTGTCCTTCTATGGTCAACCATATAAAACCCATATGCCCTAATTCCACATCATCATCCCCATATGTCATCATCCATGACCCATCATCATCCATGATCACCATTAATCCCCCCCAAAAAAATTTTCCTTCAACTCTACCCCTACTGATCTCCTCCATGAGTCCTTTTTATATGACTACCAATACAAACCTTTTTTTTTTTTCTTTTTCTTTTTTTTTTTCCGGCTATTTCCGGCGAGTCGTAAATGTTTGGAACACAACATTCCCTGCAGCCGGGAATTCATCGATCATGCTACTCCGGCAATTCAACCCAAGTGGCTCCAGCGTCTTGGCTACACACGTCCATACGTCTTGGCTCACGCAAGTAGTTGACACTGACATCATCGCCGGCCGGAACACTTGCACCACCTTCTTCAACACCTCACCGATATCGTCGTGGTCGTCGGTGAAGCCCACACACTCGAAGCTCGCGTAGCTGAACCCATCCTCCGGGGTAACGTGTATCGTCGAATACTGGGGGCCATCTATGCCATTCATGGAGTACCCACATGGGTCGAATGCGAAATCGCACACAAGCGCATGCGAGTTGATGTTACCGATACCCGTCAATTCCGTCATCTCCTTCCCAGCCACGTCGCCGGAGTTAGCATCTCCGGGCCGCCGGTAGAATTTACGTGCCAGCACACGGTCGAGCTCCGTCATGCAAACCTCTATGGTGAACACATTGGACATGTTCTCTAACACCATGTGGCGTTCATCACTGGCCGAATAGACATGCCACGAGTGTGATGACACCTTTGAAGGCATAACACAAGCTTTTCTGTAACAAAGGTTATTAGGCAAACTCTGCTCTAAGTACATCACTTCCTCTCTGAAGCTGGTGTGGGGGTAAGGCTGAGCTTTGGGGAATATAAAGTTGCCTCTGGTGTACCTACACCCACACAGCCCCAGGCCCATGTCACGAGCGTGGGACAATAATGGAGGGATTGATTTCAGGAGCTGCGTAGTCCCACATGTCTTGATGATGATCTTGGTTGGGTACACAAAGAGGCTGGATTCGGACAACACATAGGCGTCGAAGTATCTGTTTCCGACCGCCGATACAACAGTGCATTGCACGGCGTCGAGCACTTCTTCTAGCGATTCCATGTCGATCTGCCGGAGTCCGATACCTTCAGTCACCGGGTCGTCGCCTGAGAAATGGAGCTCTAGGCGTTTCTCAAAGCCTTCAAACCCAGAGAGAGCCATAGAAACAAATCGACACAGAGAGATAGCTAGCTAGCTAGCTGTAGATAGGAATTAAACCAGTGGAAGAGATGGAGAGAGAGAGCTGCTACTGCTTAGTGAGAGTGAACGGGAGCGAGAGGGTGCAGGAAATTTTATAGGGAGGAGAGGAGAGAGGGAGAGAGATGGGAGGAGGGAGAGGGGGGCATGCGTGCGAGGCAACCAAGAATAATCATTGCAGGCATAATGAGTGAGATGATGATTATTTTTGCGAGATCTTCATGAGACAGGAATGGGGAACGGAAATTCAGCCCACGCGCATTCTAGTGGGAGTCCCAATTTTTTATTTAATATATATATATATACTCGCAACACAAATAAGGATTAATTTCATCCCCCCCTTCTGCTCTCTGAATTCTGATTTTCTGCTTTCATTTTCCCTAGATTTTGCTTTTGTGTCACACTTTTACTTGGACATGGGTGACACAGAACTCTAAATTATTCATCAATTCAAGCTCACCCAGAATTACAGTAATAATAGTTATAAGCTAAATTTTCCAATTTTCAATTCATTAGTTTATCAAGTTTTTGATGCAGAGGAGCTCAGCTAATGGTAATCAATTAATTTGAACAGTGCTGAGAACGTAACAACTCCCATACAGACGTGGGTTTTTTATAAATACAATAAAGGAGGGGGCTTAGTGTTGCAATTATAGTTGTAGTGTTAAAGAATTAATTACTTGTTAAGAAGAAAAAATGATATCAGGGTTTGATCCAGCATTAGGGAACATCCACTTTTTATCAGTATGATGTTATCATATGGGCCTTGGGGTGGGCGACCCTTGTATGTGGGGATCCCACCTCTGTTCTCATCAGTCTCACCTACTGTTGTATAGAGGGAGGCTTTTGATCAGATTGCCACTTGATCCTACGGTTGTCAAAGCATTAGAATGTTCTCTTAAAAAATTCTGAGATTAATGCTATTATTTTTCTGTATTTTAGTTTAATTTTTTTTCTAAAGCATCCATTTTTTATGTTTGGAAATAATATGAGACCGAGGGTTTACACTGTGAACTAATGATGTATTTGGTTTGAAAGAAAATGTAGGAAAAATAAGGGAAAAGTAGGAAAAGCCTGTACAAAGTAAACAGACACTATTTATCTGCTTTTATTTGCAGTATCTTGATTAATATATACATGCATATTATAATTTATAGATTTACATAATTTGATTCTTAATTAGTTGGGTTAGAAGAAGTAAAATCCATCTTGGCACTGATTCAAATCTGATTGATTTGGGTCTAACCTACTGACAGTCTTAAATAAGTCCTCTCTTTTGATTTATTCTATTCAAAATAAAAAGATATTCCCAACTTTTTATATACCTAAAATTTTATCATACAAGACGTTTAAAAATGTCATTTTGCTAAAGATATATAAGATATCCTTAGAATATGGAGATGAAGAGAATTGACAGCTACTATTCGGGTTTCTCTCTGGGTTTCTCTCTAGGGTTTCTCTCTAAGATTTTTCTCTAGGGTTTTTTGTTAGAGGTGCTTTTAAAGGGATTTTTTTGGGGGTGGCTCTCTATAGGGAATCTTGAAGGGAGCCGCCCATCTGGGTTCTCCTTCCCCTTCCTCCTTCTGGTTTTTCTCCCTCCTCCCTCTCTCTCTGTCTTGAAAGAGCCTTCCTTTCGAGTTTTCTCAAGGCTTTCTCTTGAGTTTTTCCAGGTTTTGTTTCTTTGTTCGTAGTTTGAATCTGTTCACAGTTCTCAGTTCGCAGTTCTTCAATAGTTGCTGTTCACGGTGAGTCTCGTTCGTGATTCTCCAATTGATACTGTTCATGGTGAGATCTGTTCGCTGTTTTCCAGTGATGACAGTCTTTTGGAATCCTCCTCTACCAGTTTCGTTCGCCATCTGTGGTGGATTGGAGATGTACTTATTTACTTCTGTTGGTGATATGATCTCACCATTTCTCAGTTGCTGAAGATCTTTTGATTCTCTTTCATCCATTATTTTATTTTGTTCTCTTGAGAAATTATTTCTGCGTTTTCTGATTGGCCTTGTCAACTTTTTTTGTATCAATTTCTTGATTGAATGAAGTATGGTGCCTAATAGTGATTTCAAAGAAAAAAGAGAATTGACAACTATAGTCTTATTTAATTAAGATCAGGTATTAACTGGTTAGAACCACAATTGGGATTACTAATATAATAATAGAGCTTCTTCCAAGGGGGCACAACAGGAATATTGGCTATACATAGTACAAGAGATGCCCTCAATGTGTGACTGATGAATGTGGCCAGCAATGTGTTGTGGTCAATAGATCGAAACTCCTATTTGATAACAGCTAATCGAAGTGGCTGAACTGAAAAGCCTATTGTTTTAACTTTTAATGAATAAGATTTTAAGGAGGTTGGGGGCTCCTTAATAYTTGAAGCTCAAATTGGATAAATTATTATACCATAAATATTTTATTATTTTATTTACTAAAAGATAAAATAATAAATCATTAACTTCAGCTATTATCAAACAACCCCCAAGTCTATTATGTTATAACTTGGTCCGGGAGTTTTCTTATCAGTTCACGTCTACCCTAACATGGATAAAACCCAACTGATGTGTAGCTTTAGGTTTATTTCATTGCATTTAAATACAATGTTGTTAGACTTACACTTGGGCTATGTTTGGTTTGAAGGAAAAGGCAGGAAAAGGAAGGGAAAGACAAGGAAACCAATACAAGGTTTGTAAAGATTTTCTTACCTTTCTTTTCCCTACATTTTCCTTCAAATTGTCCAAAATGATTTTTGGATAATTTGATTTTTAAAAATGCTGATTTGGTCAAATTTACCTTAAAAACATGTCTTAATAAGTGTTATAATTAAGGATAAAATTTTTGCAACTTATCGACTTGTACGTCACTAATATGTTATTTTTAAGTCATTGTTTTAAATGTTAAATAACATTATTTCCACCACCTCTGAAATTCTGAAAAAAAAAATAAAAAACTTAAAAAATGGTAGATTCAAAGTACCGATGCACCCTTCTGACATACTGGGGTGTATCAATAGTTTGTTATAACCTCTAATATTAATTGTTTTGTGCTTTTTTATGCAAAATAGCCTTAAAACAACCTGAAAACATATTCTGCATTTTTATTTAAGTAAGTTGAATAATCAATCTGAACAATTAAACCATTCAAGGGTAACCCAAAACACCTCGACCCAAAACTAACACAATCATTAATGAGGAATATTAGTGACCCAATTATAATTGACTATTTTTTCTGTAATTTCAAAATAAAAGAAAATGAATACAGCTATTGTTTGAATTGATACATTTGCACATCATAATACGATAATATTATTTTATAAGTATTTCAAGAGAAGAATAGGTATTAGATAGAAGATATCTTTTGTAGCATGCTAATATTGTTATTTTGAGTCTAAAATCGGTTTTCATGCAAAACCAAAGCAGATCCTGTTCCTGACCTATTATAATCTGAAAAAAATAGGAAAACCAATAACTGATCCAATTCATAATCGGGACATGTAATGGCCCTATATAATTGGGTTAGTTCGGTTCAATTTTGGTTCTATCGACCCGGCTCCATGACTAATAGTTGGGAATATCGTAGAACTACGATTAATAACATTTGTTTGGGAAAACTAGAAAAAGGAAGAAAGAAAGTCATCAAGTGTGGCAGCTAAATAATGAGCATATCCATGAATCAGGGAGGATCGTACTGGACACGAAGGAATAGCCATCATTTTCCTTTGTAGGTTTCCCTGGTTTTTTGTGTAGGTAACGTTTTCATCATTTCTTTGTTATTTTTCAGTTTTTTTGGAATTATGTTGATCCGGATGGTCGGAATGTTTGGTCAAAAAATTATTCAGGCAACCGGTTTTATTTTACCCTTAATCTGCTTTTGGGCAAAAAACACTGACTTGATCAGAGAACTGCTGATTCAGGCAGTTGAACCATTTACTCGTTCAACCTGGACAATAGTTCATGTTTTAAGAAGTGACAGTTGCAGAGCAGACTAAGATCTCAGATCTGTGATCACTAATATTCAAGAGAAAGAGAGAGAGAGAAGATTGCAGATCTGAGATCACAAAGAGATTTTGCTGCTAAGTTTTCTGTACCATCGCCTGTGAACGTCGGATGCTTCTTCTCCTCTTCTTTCTTCTTCTTCTTTTTCTCTCCTCTTCTTCTTCTTCTTCTTCCTTCTCCTTCTTTCCTCCCTCCCTCCTTTTCTTTCCTTTCCTTTCTTTCTTTCTTAGCTGACAATTCTTTTTGTGTTTTTCTTACATAAGACTGAAATGAATGTTATTTGCCCTAATAGTCTAAACCGCCTAAACTGTTTGACTTGGACGGTTGAATGCTGACCCAAAAACTGGTGGCCAAAAAGGTTCCATTTCCGGGTTGATTTTTAAAACCTTGGTATTTCTTATTTCTTAGCTAATTTCTGATTAGGGCTGCAATGGAATAGAGTTCTAATAGAATAGTTTGGTTTAAAGTTCGAATAGGTTTGATCTTAGTTGAGTTTGAATCTTAAGGTAACTTCAATTACTTATTTGAACTCAAATCGAGTTGTAAGCGAATAGTTTGGGCTCGAATTTAATTAAGTTGCAACTCGAACCAGGAAATAGAGTTCGAATTGAGTGGTATTTTAGTCAAATCAAGCCAAGACATACAGAAGTTTGGCTAGTCTAATTTTCTCTTAGTTTGGAAATGCAACCAATTATGACTTCAATCAATTACAAGGAACCAAAGCATAAATTTTTCATTAAAAACCCATGGAAAAACCCTCTATCTCTATATCAAATTGCATTAGAAACAAGGATTAAAATAATGATACACAGCATTGATATTTATATTGATGCATCAAATACACATAAATATATTGATATATATATATATATATATATATCAATTTGAAAGTTTTAAATTTTGAAATGATAAGTTATATTTTTATAATCTTTATAAACTAAAAAAGATAAAAGTATTGATCATATTGATATGCACCAATACATCCATTTTTAGGTATCAAACGTATTAATATTTTAATCCTTAATTGAAAATCATATATTATAATAAGCTACATCTGAATGAATGAATCCACGCAATGGGCCAAACCACTC